CCTTCTGCTAGCCCTAGGTTTAATTTTTTCTTATTTTTCTAGTACTTCAGGTTGTAAAGTTAGGCTGTTGATTTGAATTTTTTTTTCTTTTTTACATAAGCATTTATAGCTATGAATTTCCCTCTTAGCACTGCTTTTACTGTGTCTCATAAGTTTTGGTATATTGTGTTTTCATTTTCATTTCTCTCTATTTTCTGATTTCCTTGTGATTTTTTTTTCCTTTGGCACATTGGTTGTTTACGAGTGTGTTTAATTTTTACATACTTGTAAATTTTCTGGTTTCCTCTGTTATTAATTTCTAGCTTTATTCCATTGTAGTCAGAGAAAATATCTTTATGATTTCAATCTTTTCAAACTTATTGAAACTTGTTTTGTGGTCCAACATATGGTCTATCCTTGAGAATATTTCATGTATAATTGAGAAGAATGTATATTCTGGTATTGTTGGGTGGAGTCTATATGTCTATTAGGTTTAGTAAGTTGGCAGTATTGTCCAAGTCTTCTATTGCTTTATTGAGCTAGATGTTCTATCCATTATTGAAAATGGGATATTGAAGTCTCCAACTATTATTGTAGAATAATTTCTCCTCCAATTCTGTCAGCTTTTGCTTTATGTACTTTGGGGTTCTGTTGTTAGGTGTATATGTGTTTATAATTGTTATAATTTCTTGATAAATTGACCATTTTATAGTTATAAAATGTCCTCTGTTTCTATTACAAATTTTTCTCTTAAAGTGTGTTTTGTCTAATATTAGCAAAGCCACTCCAGCACTGTTTTGATTACTACTTGCGTGGTACATCTTATTCCATGCTTTTACTTTCAATCTATTTGTATCTTTGAATCTGAAGTGTGTCACTTGTAGGCAGTATATAGTTGGATCATTTTTTAAATTTCTTCTTCCAAACCCTGCTTTTCAATTGGAGTGTTTAGTACATTTACATTTAATGTAATTACTGACAAGTAGGACTTATGCCTGCCACTTTGCTATTTGTTTTCTATATGTCTTAGGTGTTTTTTATCCCTCTATTCCTCCATTATACCTTCTTTTGTGTTAAGTGAATATTTTTTGGTGTAGTATTTTAATTCCCTTGTTGTTTCTTTTAACACATTTTTTAAAGTTATTTTCTTACTGGTTCCCTAAAGATTACAATTAACATCTTAATTTATAACAATCTAGTTCAGGTTAGTACCAACTTAGTTACAATAGTACCCCCAAATTTGTTTTCATAACTACATTCTATCCCCATTCTTTTGTTCTGTTATATCATACAAATTACATCTTTATAATTTATTTCCATCAATGCAAATTTATAATCATTGCTTTATACAGTTGTCTTTTAAATCAGATAGGAGAAGAAAAAGCTGTAAACAAAAATTACATTTACACTGTCTGTTATAATTCCCTGTATAGTTCTTTTTACCAGTGCTCTTTATTTCCTTATGTTGATTTGAGTTACAATCTAACATCCTTTCATTTTTGCCTGAAGAACTATCTTTAGTATTTCTTGTAGGACAGATTTGCTAGATTTAAGTTCTGTCTGTTTTTGTTTATTTGGCAATGTCTTAATTTTTCCTTCATTTTTGAAGGATAATTTTTCTAGATATAGGATTCATAGTTGACAATCTTTTTCTTTCAGCACTTTGAATATGTCATCCCTCTACCTTCTGGTCTCCATAGATTCTGGTGAGATTCAGTTGTAAATCTTATGGAGGATTCTTTGCACGTGACGAATCTCTTCTCTCTTGCTGCTTTCAAGATTCTCTGTCTTTGACTTTTGGCAGTTTGATTATGATGTTTCTAGGTATGGATATCTCTGAGTTTATCCTACTTGGAGTTCATCAAGCTTTTTAAAATCGTATTTGATTCCTCTCCCAAAACCCCAAATATCAGCAAGTCTTGGCAACTACTTCCAAGTATATCCTAAATCCTTCCACTTATTTCTGTCCCCTCTGCTACTTTCCTAATCCAAGCCATCATCACCTGTCACCTGGACTAGTGTAGTAGCCTCCTCACTGGTCTCCCTGCTTCCACTTACAACACTCTCCAGTTCATTCTACATTCACCAGAAAAAGTAGTGTCCTTAAAATATTAATCAGATTATCACATTCCCCTGCTTAAAACCTCCAGGCTTCCTGTTTACTTTGAGTAAGATCTGAGCTCAGGTGCTTCATATCTGGCCCTTCTACCTCTTCATCCTGTCTCCCACTCCTCTCCACTGCCCAGTGAATGCAGCCACCCTGGCTCTTTCTTCTCTTGAACACTCCAAGCTCAGCCCTACCTTGGGACCTTCCTACTGACTGTTCCCTCTGCCAGGGAGATTCCACCCAATGTTGGTTCCCTCTCTTCAATCAGGTCCCAGCTTAAATGTGACTCCAGGAGGTAGTTCCGCGGTTACTCCCTGTCACATCATCAGCATTTTTCTTATTTATGTATCATTTAATCTACACTCCCTACTCAAATTAATCTCCATTTAAAAGGAGAACTTTGCTATCTTACTCACCATTATGTCTCTAGTGCTTAGAATAGTGGTGACTGACACACAGTAGGTGCCCAAAAATACATGATAGAATGAATGGCATTACTTGTGCTCAACAGGTAGACTTCTTTTCTTTCCAAGACCTCCCATAGAGGACAGCTGATGCTGGAGCACCCTAAAGCTGTGAAAGAACCTGACCTGCCATCCCTATCAGCAGAGACCTGGTCCCAGGCTTTGATTTAGCTGCATTTTTGTCACTTTTCAATTCATTAATCATTGATTATTGGGCTACAGTTTCCACAGCAACCCTAACCAGCCAGAATATTCTATCATCCAGGACACTCTTTACCCCACCCTTTTTGGAGAACTCAGATTTCTATCAAGATGTTTTCCATCCTGGGCTGGCCCGGTGGCTCACTGCTACAGTGCGCCGCTTGGGAGCGCGGCAGCGCTCCCGCTGAGGGTTCGGATCCCACATACAGACCGGCCGCTCACTGGCTGAGCAAGGTGCGGGCACAACACCGAGGGTTGCGATCCCGTTGCCGGTCCTGGTCCGGTACGGGCGCGACACTGAGGGTTGCGATCCGTTGCCGGTCATGAAAAAAAGACAAAAAGGAAAAAAAAAAAAAAAGATGTTTTCCATCCTCATACAAAGGGTAAGGGTGTTGAGTGAGGAAACTGAGGCCATGGGTCTACTTCAGACGGGAGGCTTAAGGCATTAGGAACTTGCTGGATTGCATGAATGATTCTTATTTCTGCTTTATGTCAGGAAGGCCAAACCTCCAACAGGAGGACCAGTGTGCAGCTATGATAAGGAGAAGTAGGGTCTCTTATCACATCAGGTCAGCAAGGAGCATCTTAACCCCATGTTCTGGGCTCAAAGCTCTTCCAATTGCAGGGAGGAAGTTATCTGACTCAGCAGGGGTCCTGGAGCCCAGATGCAAAGGTTTGCTCCTGGAGGAGGCAGTGCAGGGGAATCAGGTCAGCTCAGCTCAGCGCCTGGCATGCATATGAAGTAAGGAAGCCCCTCAGCACCTTTCAGGGGAGATCTGAGTAGCTGGTGTTTTCATCATAAAGGGGATTCAAAATAAATAGCGCTCCACCCGGTCACAGTATTTTGGATTCCAAAGGCCCCCAAGCAGGGAAGCCAGTCTAATTTCATGTTCTACCCAACACTAATGCCATTCAGTTCTTGCCAAGTCATAATTTGCAACACTAGAATTAGACTCCAGGAACCTCAGTGATCCATTGGTCTTGGTTTTAGAGGTTACATCTTCCACGGTAGCCTTGATATCAAGTGCATCTGGTGTGTGTGTCAAATGGCCCCAAGATTAGGCTCCACTCCCCTACTACAATAGAAATTGACATTGCTACTTGGGAAGGGGACAAACTACATAATACTTTGCAGCTACCAAGACAGAGTAAAGATAGAAAAATGGAAAGTGCTAGCAGTGGAGGTGGAAAGACTATCAACTCACCAGCCCAGGCCAGATGGGCATGCACAGAGGTGGCTCTGAGAGGATGCAGCAGCATTAGGCCCCTCAGAGCCAAGACTAGAACAGGGGTGACTGGGAGCAAGCAGTGGAAGGGACAGGGCCTTCAGAGCCACAGGCCAGCTTTGCTCCCAGCTCTGTCCTTTACCAGCTGTATGATCCAAAAGTAGTTGTAATTGTTCTGTGTTTACACCTTTTAAGCAGGTGTCACACCTGCAACACAGCTGAAGGTCCCCTAGCTGATCCCCTGGCTGAGAGGACAGATACAGGCTGGGGACAAGGAGCCTGGGCAGAGCCTGCTGGGCACCCACAGCCTGAGCCTGGCGTCAAGGTGGGAGGGGTGCAGACCTGGACCACACCCTCCTTCAAGCATCCTCAGTTCCCTTGAGTCTGCCAGACGCAGGCCCAGGTGTGCCCACCGCAGCCAGACCTGAGTGGCCCATCACGAGAGGAGCAAAGTCCCAGCCCTCCCCACCCTCAGTCCCAGAGGTGGGGAAAACAAACACTGAAGCATCTTCCAGTGCACTTTAATCAAAGTTCCATCATCAGAAGAGTTCTTGTAGCATAGAATGTCAGGATGGGCATGTCAACTTGGTCTTACAAATGGAATTTCCACAGATCTGCACTTCAAACATGTATGAAAAATAAAATATATAATATTTAGCTTTATAAATTTCCCCATGTAATCACTTTCTCTTTAAAATAAATTACTACCTCTGTCCAATATATTAAGCAGCCTGGAGTCACTAAGCAATTATCCGCCAAATGACATCCATTTTCTTTACAAGTTCTGGGGGAAATACTCGATGGAGACCAGCAAATGTTTGCTGGAATCAACATGAATTAAAAACGAGCACACTCCTCACAGTGGGGCAAAACATCAAACAATGGGAGCCTCTTCTGATGGTTATTCTTTTCTGTTGGGAAAAAACAAATCCCCCAAACCATACTGAATGGCTGTAGAAGCTGCGAATGAACGTTTGGCACCAGATAAGAAGAGAGGCTTTTCAAAGCCGTACCCAGTGACAATCCCATCCAAGTATGTGGCCAAGGAAGAGAGGACAGGCAGGGGCCCTTCTCCATTCTGAGTCCCTCTTTATCCCCACAGCCTCCTCTCTGGAGCCACAGCCGCCCCCTCTGCTTTGGGGAAGGCAGGCCTTTGTCTGGAAAGCCTGTCCTCCTCCACCAGCTCCAGAGGTGAAAGATTCACAACATACAGAACACAAAGGGAAAGGCCCTTCTGCAGATCAGGGGGCAGATGCTTTGCTGCGTGCTCAGCCGACAACAGGGATGCACTCAATGCACAAGGGACGCAGCCACTTCAGCGGGATAGCTGCACAGTTGTGAAAAGGGACAGACAGAGGTGCACATGGGACACAAGGATCCAAGAGGGTGGGCAGGCCTGGGGCTACACTAGCATTTACAGGAGTTCTGAAGAGGGGCTTATGAACTCAATTCCACCTGCAGCAGGAAGTCAGATATTTGCCCACCTGGGGCTCAGGGCTTCTTCCCAGGGGATTCTGGCATTTCCCAGAAAACAACAAAACCTTAATGGGGAACAAATAAGCCGGTGACAAATGCTGCCACACAGCCTCAGTCTTAGAGATTCCCTGGGAGTGAACTTTGGGGTCCCCAGGCAATTCTGGCAAGAGTTTTGACACAATTTAACTGGGGGAGGAAGTGGCCCTGAGCTTCCCACAGCAGCAGTTGGATCCCAGCTACAAGTCAAGGAGACGCTCCTCGCAGGTCTCCACAGGCCACTTGGAAGCCCCTCCAAACACGTCAACGTTGTTGTCCACCCAAGGGATAATGTTGCCCGGCATATTCGTGGAGCAGTTGGCGATGTTGACAATTTCTTGTGCACGAAGGACACGATCCCATATGTTGAACTGGCTGAGCTCCCCCACAAATGCCTGAGTGGCATCAAACCTGCCCCCAACAGTGTCCTGGGAAACAGAAACAAGTACTCTGCATCAGGACAAATTCACAAGCAAACGTACCCTCCCAGCCTTCTGGCAAATGTGAGGGAGACAGACGGGTTGGCGGGAGGGAGCTTAAGCATTTCCTTGGCTCCCGCACTCTGACCACATTCCCTGACCACTGATTTCTGCAGATTCTGAAGTTCCCAGGCTTTACTCCAATCATCCCATTTTATACAGGGGAAACTAAGGCTAGAATGAGGAGATACTTGCCCAAAGTCCCAAAGCTAGGACTAGTACTGGGTCTCCTGATCCCGGCCACTTCCAGAGGAGATGAGTAGGGGAACTGAGGAGGGGAGTGGGCCAAGGAGGGACCAAACTCAAAGCCTCCCTAAGTGCCTAATATTTATTCCTTCACTGTCCGCCCTCAAACCTCAAACACAGACTGAAACGTCAACTCTTATGGGCCCAGGCAGCCAACTTCTTGGACTTTCCCTCCCCTAGTTGGCAAGTTTCTTGGGGGCAGCCCCCGAGGTCTACTCTTTCCCCCCCACCCATCCCCCACAAGCTGAGCACCCATGCACATTTCCCAAGTGCCCCTTGCTGGGTGTCAGCGTCGAGACTCTGAGCAAATAGCTCCGGGAAGATACCAGCCCCAGCATCCAGAGCCAGTACTGTACCCCGAGAGATCCAGACAGATACCTGGGAGATGCCCTCCCCCAGCCTCTTCCCTAGAAAGAAGCTGAAGCCTGAGTCTCAAAATGACCCCATGACCACAAGGACCCTCAGCTGTGTCACACTCCATTTTGGAATCTGTCTGAACCCACCATATAAACCCAGTCCCTGCCAGTGCAGGCCACATCCCCAGCCCGCACATAGCCCCTCAGGCTGCAAGACAGCATGGGCCGTGCTGCGCTCATCTGAGCTGGCTGTCAGGCCACAGAGGCCAGGTCTGGGGGCAGACAGCAGGGCCTGGGGTGGGAAGAGGGGACAGCCTGCAAGCTGGCCTTGTGCTGCTTCACAGTCAGCCCCTCTTTGTGGTGTCCCTGGGAGGGTATGAGCCCACCTGTTCCTGCCCGAGGATCAGTACACCCCCTGGCTTGATGGGGTGCCAGGGGGCCAGGTTCTCTCCAGTGCCGAGCTTCTCCCCATCCTGGAACGCCTCCCACATGCCATCCCGTGTCGTCCAGGTGACACAGATGTGGTGCCACTTGCCATCACTGACAAACAGAGGCAGCTGAGCGACCTGTGGGCAGCAATGTGCAGGTGAGGATCTACTGGTCCCCGCCCCCACTCCTGGTCCCCCGGGGTAGGAAGCCAGGAGACTGCTTGGTCTCTCCTTCCCTACCACGTGGGTAACATGCCCGATCCTACCCACTGTGTGTGACACAGACACTCAAGAGGAAGCAGGCAGCCTCAGCACAAGCCCTTGGCCCCAGGACGGCCCCAGCCTGGCCAAGGACCAAGCAGATGTGAGAGACAACCCTTCCACATTGGCCCTGAGTACTCCATGCTAGAGATCCAGAAAAACAAATCAGGGATCTTCACTCCCCAGCCAAAGTCCCAAACCTCCATGGCAGCACTCAGGGACCTGTGTGTGTGCTGGGGGGTGTGTCACGTCCTCCTTGTGTAGAGGACTGGAGGGTCCAAGCATGAATGTCAGCATGAGTGTGAGAGAGAGAGAGTGTGTGTGTGTAATGCACGCACAGACTGCATGCAGAACCAGAGGAAGGACATTGCCAACCTGACAGGGTCCTCCAGGAGTCCTGAGGACACTTCAGACAGGCTCAACTGCGCACTACCCCACTGTGACTGTTGGTCTCCTAGCAACCCCAAGCTTCCTCCCAGGAATTAGATGTTTACAAGAAGTCTACACAGAGAGGAAACAAGGCTCTCAGTCCTACTATGTCCTAGTGTGTTATTTAGAACAATTAATCCCTGGCTCAGAGAAGTGCTTGCTACCAGGAGACCAGCAAGCCGACTCCACAGCATTTCCAACTTAAACAAACTCCACCCAGGGTGGTTCAGTGAAGACAGACAGTGTGAGGGGCTGGGCTATCCCCCCACCACCACAGGTGGCTTCATCAGCCAGGGAGTTAGTGTCGCCACTCGAACGTTCAGATCCAGTGAGGAGGATTTGAGGATCCTCTGTTTGTTACGTTGGGTCTGACTTTAGAATGAAAGTTATGAGTGGGGCTGTTTGAGGGTCCCAAGGAGGCCTGGAGCTGATCTCTCGAGGAGACCACACTCCTGGATGTGGAAACCAGCCAGTCTATTAAAAGGGGGCATTCACTGTGGAAGAGGCAAGACTCCAAGTGCAAAGAACAGATCAGCAGTTGCCACAGGCTGGGGTAGGGAGTGGACTATGAAGGAGGGTGAGGGAATGCGGTGGGGGGGGGGCGATGAAACTATTCTATATTTTAATTATGGTGGTGGGGTGCATTTGTCAAAACTGGCTGAACTGTATATTTAAAAGGCCAAATTTTACTATCTGTAAATTATATCTCAATAAACCTGACCCCTCAAAAAAGATGCTCATGAGAAGTCTCTTACGCTTGCACACACGTGTGCACACACACACCCTTCATCAGTGTAGCTCCAGGCAGCAGCCTCACTGACTGGCCTAGGGCTGTGACAATCCAGGCCGCATGCAGAGACCTGCTCCTCCTGCTCCTCCCATGGCCTCAGTGACTGGCCTCTCTGCTGCTTCTTAGCTGGACCCACAACTTGGCTCTCAACAAGCTGCCTCCCCCCGTCCCTCCCCTGCCAGCCACCCGAAGTGGCACTGGCTCTGTGCAAAGCTGTTTCCATGACAAGGACAGCCCTGCAGACACCCTTCTGTAGCCCCTGCTCTGTGGACAGAGCAGAGCACAGGCTGGCTATGATCTGTTGTGTTAACGGCCGGCAAGCTATCAGGCTCCCTCCAACACCCCATCAGGGGCGGGCAGAAGTGCCAGCAGGCTTCACCTTGTCATTGATGAGCAGCTCGATGGGGTTGTTGCCCCACTCTATCAGCACGATCTCGTTGGCCTGCCCAGGCACCGCATAAGAGAACGGAGTGCCGATGCCCGGCGAGGCGCTAGACCGCAGCCACAGGCAGATGGTGAAGGCGTACAGCTCTGGCAGTGTCTTCTTGATCTTGCCATACAGGTAGTTTGTGCGGAGGGGGAGGGACACTTTGAATGCATCTGGCGACTTAAACGCACTGTTGCCTGGATGGAGAGAAGAGAAGCCGGAGGTGTGTAAGGCTACCCCACCCCCAGCACAGCCCAGAGCCACATCTCACCTGGGTTCTTCGCACCCTGGAGCAACTGGGAGCCCACCACATGCCAGCCACTGTTCAAAGTACTACCATCAGGCCATGCACAGGACAGAGTCCTCGCCTTCAGGGAGGTGACATTTTGGTGGGGAAGGCAGACACAAAACAAGCAGCAGATTAATAAGAGTGGGCCAGACAGTGACTCCTGCTGGGAAGGGAGTGGCCCAGTGGAGGGAAGGCAGAGATGAAGTAGAATCTGAGCTGGAAACCAAATCCTGAAGAGTCGAGGCACTGTGGCAAGACCTGGGGAGGAGAACTCTACACAGAAGTCACAAGTACAAGGGCCCCAAGGAGGCCCAGGAAAGGAAAGAGGGAAAGGAATATTTCGTGGGCAATGCGCTGGGAAAGTTACAGAACTTAGCTCCATCTCTTAGGACAGGAAAAGAGGTCTCTTTAAATTCAGAAGAAAATAGCTCTGGTCCCTTCTGGTTACTACTATGACTACTTTCAGTGTCATATCTGATGACTAGAAAGCTCGAGAAGGGGATAGAGGCAACGTAGCTTTCGTTTTCTTATTACATGAAGCCAGAAACCCCTCCCTCAGCCAAGTCTTCTTACCCCCAGGTACTTCCCTGAAATCTTAGCTCCTCCTTTGGCTTCTCCAGCAAAGATAGGGTCTGGAACCATGGGACTTGGGCTTGGAGAAAGAAAGTCTTACAGAGACCCAGGCACTTGATAAACACTTGTCAAGCGAGTAAGTCCGTGTCACTTCTCACACTAAAGAATCACCATAGGGAGGAGAAGGAGTCGAGCTCCTGGGTCTTGACACTATGACTTGACTCAGAAGTGGCTTTTGGGTCTAAATCCCTGGCATGAACTGCTTTGTTCCTGATTTGCCCTTTCTTTCTCCAGAGAAGACTGAATTTATTGACCATTTCCTGCAGTTTGGAACCAGTGGGAGACAGATGAATGCAGAGGTCCCTCCCAGCTTAGGTTAACATACCTGGTCAGAGCCTTGGCCCTTCTAGTCTTTCCTGGGCCCCCAGGTAAATGGCACTTCTAAAATCCTTGAAAACAAATCTTAAATGGGTTTAAGTAATGTTCATTATAGTTTGGTTTGAGCTCAAAATTGATCTATCAGCCCCTGTCCTGTTATCACAGATTCCAAAGTTTTCAGGATCCTGCTTGATCCTGTCAGTTGTCATGGCAAAAGCATTCCTCTTACTTGGGGACCAGACCCTTCCTGGTGAAGAAGCCGAAACACCCCTTGCTCATTCAACAAGTATTTATGAAGCACCCACAAGGGGCCAGACAATCTCCATGGCTGTAGGAGACAGGCAGGCTGTCTGGAGCCGGAACTGATGGAGGTGGCTGCCTATGTCACTATGGAATAAAATCAGTCCCTTCGTCGCCCATTCTGTAGAGCAGGGGCCAGAATAGGTAAACCGTTCTCCATCACAATCCCCCAAACTCATTTTCTGTCAGAGTAAATAATACATAAGAGAAGCTCTTTACTGCCATGGCTCATCCCTATCTAAGGAGGGCTTTCTGCAAAGGAGGGCAGCAGGGCCAGTGTCACCCTCTGAACCTCTCTGCAACCGGCAGCAGATGAAGACAAGAATCTGCCTCCCCAAGTAGTATTTACTTGTATCTGCTCATTGTACAGTCTCGCCTGATTCATCCTAACCCCCTAAGGCAGAGCACCCCTCAGCACAGGCTGCAGAGCTGCTGAGTGCCTGTCAAGGACAGGAAAGACCCAGTCACCTCGGAAGTTGAAGGGCCAGGCCAGAGTCAAGGCAAAACTGAGAGAAAAAAACAGAAAGCCCCCACTCCCTGAATTTGCAGGCTGCACAGTTCAGGCTCAGATAAGTGAGGTGACTTACCCAAGGTCACCCAATGAGTGAATGACACAGCAAAGATCAGAAGTCCCTCCTTCCACTACATGTATCCACTAGTACTTAATCTTCAAGTGGCAAACGGCCATGTTCTTAATGAAGGCATCATTATCTAATAAAGAGAAATAGCTTCTATGCCCGCAGGTGGGCAGGCTTGCCAATTTAATGGCTCAGTGTCGGTAATATCGTTAGCTCGGCGACAACAGATAGGTTTAATTAGAGCTGAGAGAGCTGAGCAACAGAGGAGGGGGCCTCTACCCTGAAAGCTGGTGTATTTTATTTAAATAAAACAGATTGGAGGTTCAGAAGAAACTTAGTTAAAGCCAATTAAGGAATTAAAGGGCCTGACCAATAAATCAGGAACCGTAGGTGGTCGACAAGGCTAAGGAGGGGCGGGCAGCCTGGGGCTAGCAAAGAGAAAGTTTGGTCTTCTTGGTGCCAATGTTTATTTCAGCACCAAGCTGGGCTGTGCCTGAGCAGTGGGGCTAGACTCTTGAGGGCCTTGCAGACAGGCAGGTCACATAACAAAGAAGAACGAGCATCCCTGGGACCCAGGAGGCAGGAGCATTCACATGCAGAGGTCGGGCGCTCAGTGCTGGGCTCCAGGGAGCCCCATGTGCAGCAGGGCGGGAGCCCACACACAGCTTCAGGCTCCATTACTCCTCTGGGGTTACCACCAACTTCAATCCCTGCTGGAAAATCTGCTGGCCACATAAATGCAGGTATCACTCAGCTCTCTGACTGCAGTCCCTCACCTGAACTAATACCTACCTCACAGGGTTGTTGCAGGAGTTCTAGAAACGACAGAGTATGGAACTCACAGCTGAGTATCTGGCCTAGAACAAGGGACTTAACAGGCAGAGGATGACAAACTGAAGGCCAGAGTGCCCCATAGCCCCCCACCTGTCCCGTGGTTGAGGTCTATTTCCTCTGGTCTCAGCTAGAAGCTTCTAAGCAACATGGTATATTTTCTATTCCTATTTGGGGGCTGGGCATTTACATATCCCTTTATATTGGTCACTAACAGAACAGATATAAACTTACAGAACTGACCAGAAGACAAACCAGTCAGCAAATGATCACTTTCCTTAAAGATTTATCCCAGAACTGAGTTGGTGGAGCACAGAGAAGGATTTGAGAGTTCCCATGGTGGGGTCAAAGGGCAGTATACAATAGATGCTGAGCTACTTCTCTGGACCAAATCCTGGGGACTTTGCAAGAATGGTCAGTCAGGGATTTGGCCCTGGTAGAGCCCAGACAAGCTCCAAGGGCTTTCCATGAAACCCTAAGGATCAAGAGTGTGGGTGCCAGAATCAGGCTGGCTGGGCCCCATTCCTGACTGGTTCTTTCTGGCTGTGAAGAGACAGGCTGGGGGTGAGAGGGAAAGTCACAAAGTGGCAGCTCTTGGGTGGCCAAAACCAGGATGAAGGACCTTAAAGTAAGCCGCACCAACTTCAGTCAGAAAACAGAGAATGGGGAGGCGCAGGTTTATGTGACTGCTGCTGCTCACCAGCTAGTGACTCAGGCTCCACTTCAGTCCCCTCTCCCCAAATGACACATGCCTAGCTGAGAAGTGAGCATTTTTCTCATCTGTGAAATGGGTAGAACAGAAATCCTATCTCATAGGGTGAAGCACTCAGCACCCTGCCTGGCACCACGCTATGCTCTAACTCAGCAGACTTCTACTAACCCGCCTCCTTGTAGCAACCTGGCCACTGTGCCAAGTGAGGTATACAGCCATCATCGGCCCTGGCGAAGCCCCCCTCTCATTCTCCAGCTCCCCCTTTCAAGATACTAAATAACTTTAGGGTGTCCATCCTGTAGCCTTGAATGTGGATAAGGCTGGGCCAAGGGAGCCACACCCACCTGTGACTAGGTGCTGTCCTCCCCTCCTCCCGCCACATAAGAAAGGCCACAGCTGCAGCAGCTTTACCTTCAGGGAAGGCTCTCAAGCCCTAATGAGCCTCCTGAGGACACCCAGCAGCAGAGGTGAGGCAGAGAGGAAGGTATTTTGAAAACTCAAGAGTCCAAGTCTAGCTTAGAGAAGTAGAGAGTAGAATTGTGGTTACCAGAGGCTGAGAAGGGAAGGGGGGCAGGGGAAAAAGGAGAGGTTGGTTAACAGATACAAAATTACAGCTGGATAGGAAAAATAAGTTCTAGCAGTGTGCAACAGTGCTAGACAAATACAATTAACAATAATTTATTGTATGTTCTCAAGTGGCTAGAAGAGAGGAGCTCAAATGCTCTCATCACAAAAAAATAAGTTTTTGCAATGATGAATATGCTAATTAACCTGATTTGATCATCACACATCATATACACGCATTGAAATATAACTCTGTACTCCATACATTGGTACAATCAATATGTGTCAATTAAAAAATAAGTAAGTTTTTTAAAAAAAGAATCCAAGTCTAACAGGTAAGCCACACTCACACTTTTCTGGGAAGGGCAGGGAAAAAAGGACAGACTTTTCTGGAGGAAGAGAATAGGAAAGGATGAAGGAGACCTGTAGCTTGTGGATACTGGCTGTAAAACAGAACAGTAAGCCATCCCTTTTCCATCAGGCCCTCCTTGACCAATATCATTAAATGAGTCATTGGACGTTCTCCTATCAATTCATGAAACTGAGTAACTTGAAATTGCCTTTTCAGGTTAGTGCATCTGAGAAGATTATAATCCTATAACCACTGCCAGCAAACTTAAAACTTCATACCCAGGCCACCCAGAGGATTGGGGGTTGATAATGTGATCTGAATTATCTACAGCCCTTGATTCCTCCTTTGCCTGTCTCCAGTGGGAAAAACTTACCCACTATAGTATGAGCAGAGAATAGAAAGATATACAGAATCTGCTGTGAGGACTAGTTAAGAAGGGACTGAAATGCCCACATGGCAGGAGGTGGGATATCAGCTGGTCCTGAGTGCATTTGCTTTTCCATGGATAACGCCAGTGGGGCTGGGGGCTAAAGGCTAATTCCTGAGATGACTGTGGTCAGTCACCTTTATTATTTGCTCAAACATCCACCAACCACGTCCATGTTGTGCCACAATCACTGCCGTCATAAACCAAAATTCTGGGTCTGACCGCCAGTGATGAAAACCAGGCCACTCCCAGACACAGAAATAAGCAAAACAACGCACCTCGCTCCAGCTCAGTCACCCTCTGCAGCAGAGCATTCAGCGCGTTCTCGGTCTTCTGCCGGTGAGCCGAGGTCTCGTTGTGGAGCAGGGACTTCTCGTCCTCCAGCTCGGCCACCTTGCGCAGCAGCTGCCTCTCCAGCTCCCCCAGCCGCCGCTGGAGCATCTCACGAAAGTCGCTGGGCAGCCCCGCATTTGACACGTTCACTCTGAGCTGATGCTTTCAGTAGGGGAGGGGGGGACACAAGAGGGAGAAGTATTCGGGCCAGTTGAAAAGAAATTGTGAAATGTAGCTTCTCATGCCTGACAACACAGGCAGAAGCTTCCCAAACGCAAGCATTAAACCATGCCAAAAAAGGCAGGAAGAGGAGCATTTCATTGATGCTTTTTTTTTTGGGGGGGGGGGGGGTATGGAAAGGATTTCAAAGTCAGACAAGAGTAACTTTGCTGCAATATATGCAACTTGTAAATCTCATTTTAGCCTCTCAAAAAAGCTGTTTTCTCCTCTTACTAAAAAGTCAACATTTTAACCAACACCTTTAATTCTTTGTTGGATAAACACCAAAACACAGCTAAGTTTTTTTTTTTTAAGAGGTAATCGATGGTACTCAAAGCTGATGCGCATTCATCTAGAAAGGAAAACAGCGCCCGAGGTCCGGAATGTCACAAAGGTAAATAACTATACTTGCAGAGATGTTACTGGAAAATGACAGATATAAAACATTACTATCCTGAATTCCAGAAATTTTGTTTTTAATGCTGTTTCTAAATCCACACTTCCTATTTCTTTTACTCCTCTACTATTATTCAGGCTCTGGAGACAGCCTGCCGTTGCCTAGTCCTGAGTCCTTGGCAAGCTATTTGTCCCTCTCTACTCTAAGTGTTCCAAATCGTAAAATGGACATAATAAACTTGCCTCGTGCCATTCATTATTGCAAGGGTTAAAGTTAAATAATATGCCTGACCCATATTTAGCACTCAAGAAATGTTAGCTGTTAGTAATCATAATGAATCAGAGGATATACAGATGCTGGAAATACTGTATTTAGCTATTGTGCCAAAAGAAACCTTCAAATAATTTTGCAATAATTACCACCTGTAATTTAAACCTAATTTTGCTAAGAAGTATTTTAATAAACGCTATTAACAGAAATGTCCACACTTCTTAAATAAGGGTGGAAAGTAAAGACGAAAATTAATTGAAGATTTCCCTCTCAAAGTTCCAAACCACACACATCTTCCAAGAGAGAACGGAATAAAGTCACCTCCCCCAAAGCAATCAGGAAGGGCACCTTAAAATGGTCCAACTCAAAGACATAGGCGTCTTTGAAATTAACAAGGGATTTCCTCTAACGCGCCTTTTGGGGTCGAGGGTGACGCGCCACCCCGCGCTCGCCTCCCGCAGAGTACCCCACCCCCAGGCCTCTACCCCCTCTGGTCAAACCCGATCGGATTTATAAAAGGAAACACCAGATGCCCAAGGCAGCTGACCTCCCGCGGGAGCCTCGCAGCATCCCGCAAGGGCCTGCTGGACCGGCCCGGCTCGCGGAGATTTGCAGAAGAGGAAGGAAGCTGCCCCGTCCCCAAGTATTTCGCGCCCGGCTTGGCCATCCGGGGTCCCTAGGCGGGACCTCAGGAAGTGCACGGTGGGTCCAGTGGGCAGTCCCGGTGCTCAGGGGATTTAACCCCTTCCTTCAGCAAACGGGCGCGGGGGGTGGCGGTAGGATTGCGACCCAATTAAGTTGCCGAGCAAGAGCGAGACCCACCCCCCCAACCTTTTACCTCCACACCCAGCTCACTCCGCGGGAGAGCGCGTCTGGCCTGGACCATGCACCGTCCCTTTCTCCTCCCGTTCCTGCCCCACGACCCGAGGGCGTCCTCCCAGGTCCCTCGCGCTCCCCCGCGCGCCGCTACCTCGAGGCTCTCCAGGCGGTCCTTGAGGGTCTGCAGCGAGCGGCTGAGCTGCTCTACGACGTGGCCGGGGTCCCGCGGCAGGTCGCCCATGGTGTCCTTGCCCGTGGCCGCGGCGCCCCGCTCCTTG